GCTAGAATGTCCTTAGAGCCCAAAAATTAACCCCCCAAAAACAAATCCTTAAAGAAAACAACCCAATTAATAAATGGACTAAAGATTTAAAGAGAGGCATCTCAGAAGAACTAAGAATGACCAATAGACATATGAAGAAATGTTCTACATCTCTGGTGATCAAGGAAATGCAAATCCAAAGAACATTAAGATTCCACCTTACCTCCAGTTAGAAAGGCTATTATCAAGAGAACTAACAATAACAAATGCTGGTGGGGATGTGGACAAAAGGGAACGCTATTACATATTGTTGGAAATGTAAACTTGTTCAACCACTCTGAAAAGCAGTGTAGAAATTCCTCAGAAAACTAAAAATAGAGCTTCCTTATAACCTAATAATTTCAGTCCTGGCAATTCATGGAAATAACCACAAGCAAGTCCACACTAAAGCTACCAACACAACCATGTTCACTGAGCATTATTTCCCTTAGTCAAGATATGGAATCAGCTCAGATGCTCCTCAGTCGACAAATAGCTCAAGAAAATGTGGTATATACACAATGGAATTCTACTCCCCCATCAAAAAGAATGACATTGCACATTTTGTAAGGAACTGGAAAGACTTAGAGAAAATCATATTAAATAAAATTGGTAAGTCTCAAAGAAACATAGGTTGCATGCTTTTCCTCATTTGTTGTAACTAGCAAGTGCCTATAAATCTACACAAAAACACACTGGATTGTAAAAGAGAATAAAAATATACTTAGATATGATTAATTATACAGGACTCCAGAGGTATTCACACAATGAGACAAAGGTGGGTATTCTTAGGACAGGAACACAAAGGCTCAATAGCTATTTGCATATGCTCATATAAGATTTTATATATATATATATATATATATAGTTTTTGTTTTTGTTCCCTGGACCTTTTGGGTTGTATGTAAGTTTATCTGTTTGGAGGAGGGTAAAGGGGGGTGAACATATGCAGCAGTGATATTAGACACTATGTTGAAAGTGAATCATACAAGTTTGTGGGAGGAGAGAGCTAAGAACTGGGAGAGAGTGAGGAAAAGGGTGACATGGTTCAAATAGAAAGGTGCTCATTACCTGACTTCTGTAACTGTAGCCCCTCGGTACACCACCTTCACCGTAATGACTTCAAAAATTCCTGATAAGGTAATCAAAACGTTTAATAGGTCAAATAAATAATGTGATAGCAAAACTTTGTGTTTGAACATTCAGGTCACATTTAGTAATCCCTAAATCAGTATTACAGGATTTCCTCCTGAAAGTTGATTTTAGGGGTTAGACATACACACATATCATATATACATTTTGCACACATCACACACAAACATACTTGAAAATACTGATAAGGGCTTATAACTGATGGAACTGAAGATGATCACCTGTAATCAGTAGGTGACTTCATCAAATCACAGGTAATCTACTATAAAACCTGAAGTATAATGAATAATGATGTAAAAAAGAAAAAAATAATGTACAATTAGTTTATTAAAGATTCTTCTTCATTTAGAAATCTGTGATTTGAGATCTATGATTTTGTCTGTTTCCCATATGATTTTGGTTTGTACTCCGCTTCAGATAGCTATAATTCATAAATACATTTAAATAGAGACTCATTAGAATTGTGTGTGTGTGTGTGTGTGTGTGTGTGTGCGTGTGTGAGTCATGAGGCTTGAACTCAGGGCCTGGGCGCTATTCCTGAGCCTTTTTTTCTCAAGGCTAGTGCACTACCACTTTGAGCCAGTCTGCCACTCTGGTTTTCTGAACTAAGTGTCTCACAGACTGTTGGGGCTTGCCTTGAACTGTGATGCTCAGATCTCAGCTGCTTAAGCAGCTAGGATTACAAGGGTGAGCCACCAAGGCCTGGCCTTTAGACAGGCTATGGTTCTTCTAGTGCTTTCCTGTGTCACTGGTGACTGTAGTGCATCCACAACCACACTCAACCATTGATTAACATGGAGTGTGGTAAATGTTTATGCCCAGACTGGCTTTGACCCCAAATCCTCTGATTTCCTCTCTCCCAAGCAGCTAGGTTGAAAGGTTTGAGCCAACTTGCACAAAGAACTTTTCCACTTTTAGTTGGCTTTCTCTTTTGATTTAGTAGCCGCAGTGATGTCATAGGGGGACAGGTTTTTGTTGTTGTTTAATCTTTTGTGAAGGAGATGGAAAGTAGCATAGGCATGTTCTTATATTTTGAGATTATTTTTGTCACTGGAGAAGAAAATATTGGTACTTTTTCTCCTGTCTAGCATTCTGCTATAAGCTACTTTGAGTTTTCCAAGTTTCCTTATTCTTCTGTTGAGAGTCAAAAATTGAAATGTAGACAAGCCATCTTTTCCTCCCATTAGGTGATGCCATTTCTGGCCGTTTACCTTTGTGCAGATATGAAATAATAAGATATGAAATTATGCGGAATTTCTAGTGTGGGTATGTTAAGACCTAGTTTTCCTCCTACAGCTTCATAAAGAACTGGAAGAGAGGCAGGCATCATTGGTCGCTCACACCTGCAATCCCAGCTAACTGCAGGAGGCTGAGAAATCCTGGACACCCCATCTCAAATTATCCAGAAAAAAATGTTGGACTGTGGTGTTGCAAGTGAAAGCTCCGTGAGAATTGGAGGCCTGAGTTTGAGACCTAATACCAGCACAAAACAACGAGAATAAAGAAGAACCTGAAGAGGTAAAGCAAGCTCAAGAAAACCTACTGGCAACACAAGCACACTACTTCTTCACCTGTCTGAGCATGTTTTCTGGTCTCCACTGGCTCACCACAACGTGTCTGACCACTTCGGTGCTTCGTAGCATGCTCTTCTGTCTTTTCCTTGACATTATATTTGACTTCGAACTTTCCAATGCATTTGTTGCTGCTTTCTCTTACCACCACTTCCAAACCTCTCTCTTTTCTTCTATTCTCCTTCTTCCTTATTCCAAAGACAGCTTCCAGAACCGTCGTCAAGACCCAGGATTCCCAGCCGAGCAGTGAGTAGGTGTGGCGAGGAGGGTGTAAAGGTTTCCTCCATCTCTGGGGAGGGTCCCGAGGTCTCCACAGTGTGACAAGCACTGCGCCACAACTCCTGCTGCGGCGATGATGATGATGATGGTGATGATGATGATGATGGCGATGATGATGGTGATGATGATGATGATGATGGTGATGGTGATGGCGGTGATGATGATGGTGATGATGATGGTGATGATGGTGATGATGATGGTGATGATGATGATGATGGTGATGAGGATGATGATGATGATGATGGTGATGATGATGATGATGATGATGGTGATGATGGTGATGACGATGATGATGATGATGATGATGGTGATGATGATGGTGATGATGGTGATGGTGATGATGATGATGACGGTGATGATGATGGTGATGATGATGATGATGATGATGATAAGAGAGAGAAGCCTATGAGGAAATGATTTAAGGCAGCTTCAACCGGGAGCCAGAGCGAGGGCCTGAATTCAATCCCCAGCACTATTAAAAATCTCGAAACAATCACACACATACACACTGCTAGACGGTGCTAGAAGATTCGGTAGGCCCCCCCCACCCCCAGCCCGGCTAGGAGGGCAGCGGAAGTAGTAACTCAACATGGGCAGAAAGTTCGAGCAGCGCCACTCCTGTCGGGAGGGGCTCTGGTGACCCCGGGCTCTGTGGGATCGCAGCCCGTGTCCGCTGGTCTCAGGAGCACAGGTGAAAGGTCAGGGGTCGGGGGCCCAGGGGACGCAGGAGGCAGGGGCTCGACCTCCGCGGGTGTCGCCGGCGCCGCGGGGCCCACGGGGCCCCGAGTTCGGCCGCCCAGCGGCGCTGCTGGGCTGAGCGCGGGGCTGAGCGCGGGGCTGAGCGCGGGGACGGACGGACCAAGCCGGCGGACGGCCGCTCGGCTCCCAGCAGCCTGGAGGGCGGGGGGTCCCGGGGAGGGGCGCCGGGAGGGGGTCTCGGGCGGGGGCCCCGGGCGGGGTCGGGGGGCGCCGGGTGGGGTCCCGGGCGGGGGTCGGGGGGCGCCGGGTGGGGTCCCGGGTGGGGTCCCGGGCGGGGTCGGGGGGGTCCCGGGTGGGGTCCCGGGCGGGGGTCGGGTGGCACCGGGTGGGGTTCCGGGTGGGGTCCCGGGCGGGGTCGGGAGGTCCTGGGCGGGGGTCCCGGGCGGGAGTCGGGGGGGGTCCCGGGCGGGGGTCCCGGGCGGGGTCGGGGGGTCCCGGGCGGGGTCGGGGGGTCCCGGGCGGGGGTCTCGGGCGGGGGGTCCCGGGCGGGGGGTCCCGGGCGGGGGTCGGGGGGGTCCCGGGCGGGGGTCCCGGGCGAGGGTCGGGGGGTCCCGGGCGGGGGTTGGGGGTCCCGGGCGGGGGTCGGGGGGTCTCGGGCGGGGGTCTCGGGCGGGGGTCCCGGGCGGGGGTCCCGGGCGGGGGTCGGGGGGTCCCGGGCGGGGGTCGGGGGGTCCCGGGCGGGGGTCGGGGGGTCTCGGGCGGGGGTCCCGGGCGGGGGTCCCGGGCGGGGGTCGGGGGGTCCCGGGCGGGGGTCGGGGGGTCTCGGGCGGGGGTCCCGGACGGGGGTCGGGGGGGTCCCGGGCGGGGGTCCCGGGCGGGGGTCGGGGGGTCTCGGGCGGGGGTCCCGGGCGGGGATCCCGGGCGGGGGTCGGGGGGTCTCGGGCGGGGGTCCCGGGCGGGGGTCCGGGCCCGGCCCGGCGAGCGCGCGCGGCGGCGGCGGCGGCGGCGGCGGAGGCGCAGGCGCAGGCGCGCGGCGGGCCGGGCTGCAGCCGCGGGAGCTCCGCGCCCAGCGCCACGCCGCGCCGCGCCTCCGCCGGAGAGAGCGCGGCCGCCGGCCCGGGCCCCGCCGGCCCCGGCCCCGGCCCCGGCCCCGGCCCCGGGCGCCCCCCGCCGCTGCCCGCGGGAGCACCGGCGAGCATGCGGGGGAGCCCGGGCGCCCGACCCCGGGGCGCGCCGCAGCCCGGGCTCCGTCGGTCCTGACGCGCCCGCCTGCGCCCGAGAATGTCAGCCCCGTCCCGGGGGCCCCCGCCCGCGTCCCCGCCGCCCGCCGCCGGCCGAGCCCGGGTGAAGGAGCAGATCCGGATCATCGTGGAGGACCTGGAACTGGTCCTGGGCGACCTGAAGGACGTGGCCAGAGAACTGAAGGAGGTGAGGACGGGGAGAGCGGGAGACAGACAGACAGAGAGACAGAGAGAGAGACAGAGAGAGAGACAGACAGAGAGAGAGAGAGACAGAGAGTCAGAGAGAGAGAGACAGAGAGAGACACAAGAGACAGATACACACACAGAGACACAGAGAGACAGAGAGACAGAGAGCGGGAGGGAGAGACAGACAGAGATCGAGACGAGAGATAAGAGAGACAGACAGACAGACAGCGCGCGCCGGCGCCCCTGGCCGTCTGGGCAGCGCCGCTCGGGACGGCCGGGTCTCCAAACTCGCGGCCCGGCCCCGGCCCCGCGCGGGCGGCCGCTGCGGTTCTGGTTTTAATCCAGAAGAAATCAACTAGTGCTACGGGTCGCGGAGTGGGGTGCGGGGCCTCCGCGCCTGGGTGGGGCCGGGGTTCGCCGGGGGCGTGTCCCCGAGAGTGCGCGGGACCCCGGAGCCCGCGCCGCCCCAGCCCGCGGACCCCGGAGCCGCGGGACCCCGGAGCCGCGCCGCCCCAGCCCGCACCGCCGCAGCCCGCGGACCCGGGAGCCGCGCCGCCCCAGCCCGCACCGCCCCAGCCCGCACCGCCCCAGCCCGCCGACCCCGGAGCCGCGCCGCCCCAGCCCGCACCGCCCCAGCCCGCACCGCCCCAGCCCGCCGACCCCGGAGCCGCGCCGCCCCAGCCCGCGGACCCGGGAGCCCGCACCGCCCCAGCCCGCGGACCCGGGAGCCCGCACCGCCCCAGCCCGCGGACCCCAGAGCCGCGCCGCCCCAGCCCGCACCGCCCCAGCCCGCACCCCCCCAGCCCGCGGACCCCGGAGCCGCGCCGCCCCAGCCCGCACCGCCCCAGCCCGCACCCCCTCAGCCCGCGGACCCGGGAGCCCGCACCCCCCCAGCCCGCGGACCCCGGAGCCGCGCCGCCCCAGCCCGCACCCCCCCAGCCCGCGGACCCGGGAGCCCGCACCGCCCCAGCCCGCGGACCCGGGAGCCCGCACCGCCCCAGCCCGCGGACCCGGGAGCCCGCACCGCCCCAGCCCGCGGACCCCAGAGCCGCGGGACCCCGGAGCCGGCGCCGCCGCCCCAGCCCGCGGACCCGGGAGCCCGCACCGCCCCAGCCCGCGGACCCCAGAGCCGCGGGACCCCGGAGCCGGCGCCGCCGCCCCAGCCCGCGGGCGAGTCGCGCCTTGCGGGCACCCCGTCCCCCAGGGGAAGGGGCTTTGGGTTCCGGGCCGGGCGGGAGACCCCGGTGCCCCCTGCTTCCCGATCCCTGCTGGGAAGGAGGGGCCTGGGCCGCGGGCGGGCGGCGCGGGCTTCCCCGTGGGCGCCACTCGACCGGCTGCGCTCGGCTCCGACGCCTTCACCTTCTTGGCCTTGGGAGGCAGCGGTCCCTTCCCTCCGCCCGCCGCTTCCTGAGCCTGTGGAGTAGGGCTGCAGGGTGTGCGGGTATATGTGTGTGTGCGGGTGTGTGCATGTGTGTGTATGTGTGCGCGCGGGTGTGTGTATGTGCGGGTGTGCGGGTGTGTATGTGTGGGTGTGCCGGCGTGTGCATGTGCATGTATGCGGATGTGCCTGTGTGAGCGTATTGTGCGCGTGTGTGCGTGTGTACGTGCGTGTGTGCATGTGTGTGAGGGTATGTGTGCGTGTGTGCATGTGTACAGGTGTGTGCGTGTGCATGTGTACGAGCATGTGTGCGTGTGCACGCGCGCGCATGTGTGCGAGAGTATTGTGCGCGTGCATGTGTACGTGTGCGTGTGTGTGCGTGTGTGTGTATGTGGGTGTGTGGACGTGTGCATGTATGCGGATGTGCCTGTGTGAGCGTATTGTGTGCATGTGTACGTGCATGTGCGCGTGTGTGCGTGTGCGTGCACGTGTGTGCGTGTGCATGTGTGTGCGCGCATGTGCGAGTGTATGTGGGTGTGCGGGCGTGTGCATGTGCATGTATGCGGATGTGCCTGTGTGTGAGCGTATTGTGCGCGTGTGTGCATGTGTACGTGCGTGTGCGCGTGTGTGTGCGTGTGCATGCACGTGTGTGTGCGCGTGTGTGTATGTGCGCGCGTGCGTATGTACGGGTGCGTGTGCATGTGTGCGTGTGCACGTGTGTGCGTGTGCATGTGTGTGCGCGCGCGTGTGTGAGTATGTGCGCGCGTGCGTATGTACGGGTGCGTGTGCATGTGTGCGTGTGCACGTGTGTGCGTGTGCATGTGTGTGCGTGCGTGTCTGTGTGCGCGTCTGCCATCTTGTCATTTACATCCTTGCTCTTGGGAATGTGGACTTGGCCCCCTCCCGTCCCATGCCCGCCGTCCGCTGTCCGGCTGTCCGCTGTCGCCCATGGCTCTCCCGCGTGGATGGAGAGATGGGAGTTCTCAGCACTGGAGCCCAGCGCTCCGCCGCTGCTCTGCCCGGAGCGGGGGTCAGGCCGGGCTGGACGGGGCTCGGGTCAGCCAGGCTGCCTTGGGGGCCTCTTGAAGTGGGCGGCTGGGTCCAGCCCGGCCCAGTCCCAACCCAGCCCTGTCCCAGCCCGGCCCGGTCCCAGCCCGGTCCCAGCCCAGCCCCGTTCCAGCCCGGTTGTGTCATGCCGCTGCACCCGGCGGTGGTAGTGCTCAGTGGTAGTGCTCTCCAGCTTTGGCGGAGAACAGAGACGGCCTCCCCATCCAAATCCGACCCGCAACCTGGGTCTTCAAGCCAGGCCGAGGGCCTTGGGATCATGGGACTACTGGCCATTTGGGTTATTGATCACAAGGAGTTTTTGCTCCTGTAATTCCCAACCCGAATTTGGGTCATTTACTCTACAAACTGAACTCCACTGTGTGTGTGTGTGTGTGTGTGTGTGTGTGTGTGTGTGTGTGTGCGCGCGCGCGCCAAGTTTAAAATCGGGTTGAATGTTCCAGTCCTTCCTGATTCTGTCTGTGGCAGTAACCAGGAGCTAATTACCACTAAGGTCCTGAGAGTAGTGGTGGTTGACACAGAAGCGGACATAAGATTTGCATTTTAGGGCTTCTCCAGGGTTATTCTTTAATACTCGGTTGAAAGGTGAAGGGCTGTGAATTGAAAGTCAAGTCTGAAGATGTGGTTTCTTTATTTTCTGGGTGACACGTTTGGCAAGCAGTGTTTTCCTTCACAGCCTGATGGCGGTTTAAAAGCTGTCCATTCTTTTGGCTCGATCATGTTTGGTTCTTGTGGAAGTTTTTAAGGTGGGGAGGTGGGGTATCTATCTACATCAGTACGGTGGCACATTTATTTTCTTCTCCAGCCTGAGATTAAGAGAAAGGGTAATCAAAATCCTGCAGCTACCTTCTCTACTTCCTTAGGTTTCCTGTCCTTTCAGTACTTTGGACAGAAAAAATAACAAGCAAGTTGTGACACATAGGAAAAAGAGGATACAAAGTCAGGGCTTTGCTGTGCACCATTATTCTATGGACATCTGGAGACTAGGCAGGTCTACAGGAAAATATCTAACCTCTCTCTAGGGCCTGTTGTTCTTGTGTCTTCCTTTATTTCATTGCAAGCTATAAGTAAGGGAGCCTGTTGATCTCTCTGTACTTTCCATTATTTCAACATCTTTATCCAGAAAAATAAGCAATTTCTGAAGGAATAAAAATGCATAAGTACTGCACACGAAATATATGAAGAGACCTGAGAAGTTAGACACTCAATTTCTACTTGATGTTTTGGAATTTTCATTGACTACCAGAGCCTATTCTAGTAAAAAAAAAAAAAAAAAATCTCAGCATTGAAAGTAAAATGTACCAAAGATAAGTGATGCAGTGTTATTGCCGATCACATTGGGATCGTATTGACCATCATAGGTTTCAACTTGGAAATGCATAATCTCTGACTGGACCCCAAAGCCCTAGCTATTAATAGATTATGAATGGAGTTATTTGGAGAACAGTGTATTTACAGGGCATGCTTAACCTCTGACACCTTGCAGCTGTCCAGCATTTATCTTTTCTGGATAATGCTTCCTATGTGACTGAACATGCCTTTCATGTGTCTCTGAAGAAGAGAACAACTGAAAATTGGTACACTGCAAAGCTTATTGCGGTGAGAAGTAACAAATTATAGGAATCAGTGACTTAGAAATGTACAATTGATTTATCAATGGTCACATTTAATACTGTGGCATTTATAATGGCATTTAGTTTTACTTCAAGTCTAACAGCTTATGTCACATGTAATGTAATTCTAATAAGAAATTATAATTATATGATGGCTGTTGCTTTGCTTTTAAACCTCATGTAAATTAAGCCATAATATAAAATAGGAATGAGCTCTTATTATTTTAAAATGGAAATTAAAAATAAATGGTTATGACTGGATTAATATGTCCATTAATATATAGTATTTTTCTCAATCTTATTAAAGTTCACCTTTTAATTTTTTTCCTTACCTTTGTATAAATTTCTGCACCAACACTATTGGATATTATTTAATATCCAATAGTTAATTTAATATCACTTTTCTTTATAACCCCTTGAATTATAGTTACTCATCTGAATTCAGACATGACGGTAGAAATGAACATTGTAGTAGCTATTAGAAACATGATAATAATGAGAAACATAGTAATAACAAAACAGCACTATACATAGCAAGAAAAGTTGTAATTACAAATGCCTTAGTAGTTATTGAGTTAGAATTATTTAGCCAGTTATATTTGAATTGTCTACTGGCAGAAGAGAAATATGATTTTCAGAAAAGATAAGGGCAGTCGTGTTCTACCCCTTATAATTGAGTAAAGCTTCACATAGAGAGTTTTCAGATATGTAAAGTACTTGCTTTTCATGATATAATGGGAAATAAATATATAATATATTCCTATAGTCCATTCTCCCTTCTCCTACTAAGATTATTATGTCATTTATGGTGTCATTGGACTCAAAAGTTTATTTGGGGGATACATTTATTCTGTTTTAATAAGGCATTTAAACTTAAAAAGCATTACTGCTGTTACTGGCCAATTTAATATGGGGTTAGCTGAAAATCATTTGCATATGCTTAGT